TCCCTAGATTAGATGATATGCTTGATGAATTGCATGGTTCTAGTGTCTTTTCTAAAATAGATTTGAAAAGTGGCTATCATCAGATTAGAATGAAGGAAGGGGATGAGTGGAAAACCACCTTTAAAACTAAGCATGGATTATATGAATGGTTAGTAATGCCGTTTGGGCTAACAAACGCACCTAGCACCTTCATGCGGTTAATGAATCATATTCTTAGAGCTTTTATAGGTATATTTGTTGTGGTATATTTTGATGACATTCTGATCTATAGCAAAACCTTAGGAGAGCATGTTGAACATTTGAAATCTGTTTTAGAAGTGCTTAGGAAGGAAAAGCTTTTTGCTAATCTTAAGAAATGCACATTTTACACAGATAAGCTTGTGTTTCTAGGTTTTGTTGTAGGTGCGGATGGAATCAGGGTCGATGAAGAGAAAATAAGGGCCATCAAAGACTGGCCGAACCCTAAAACTGTTGGAGAAGTGAGGAGTTTCCACGGCCTTGCGGGCTTTTATAGGAGATTTGTGAAGGATTTCAGTACATTGGCCGCTCCCCTAACCGAGATCATCAAGAAAGATGTGGGATTTAAGTGGGAACAAGCACAAGAAGAAGCGTTTCAAATACTTAAGGATCAACTAACCAATGCACCGGTACTTGTCTTACCTGATTTCCTTAAGACTTTTGAGATTGAATGTGATGCTTCTAGTGTAGGAATTGGAGCTGTCTTAATGCAAGACAAGAAACCCGTGGCCTACTTTAGTGAAAAACTCGGAGGAGCCATGCTGAACTATCCTACCTACGATAAAGAACTCTATGCCTTGGTGCGAGCACTCCAAACGTGGCAACATTATCTGTGGCCCAAGGAATTCGTTATTCATACCGACCATGAGTCTCTCAAGCATTTAAAAAGACAACAAAAGCTCAACAAACGACATGGCCGATGGATCGAGTTCATTGAGACATTTCCTTATGTTATCAAGTACAAGAAAGGTAAAGACAATGTAGTTGCCGATGCCTTGTCACGCAGGTATGCTCTAATTACTACTCTTGATGCCAAGCTATTAGGCTTTGAACAGCTTAAGCTCCTCTATGCATCCGATTCTGACTTTAAAGAGAAATATCAGTCTTGTGAAAAATTTGCTAAGGATCATTATTTTAGACAAGAAGGATACCTCTTCTATGATAATCGTTTGTGTATTCCTAATTGTTCTATTCGAGATCTTTTAGTCAGGGAAGCACACGGAGGAGGTCTTATGGGGCACTTTGGTATAACAAAAACTTTGAAAATCATGCAAGACCACTTCTATTGGCCGCATATGAAAACAGACGTAGAGAGGATCTGCGAACTATGTGTCACTTGTAAACAAGCTAAGTCCAAAGTCAGGCCACACGGTTTGTATACTCCCTTACCTATTCCCTCTCGTCCTTGGATCGATATATCTATGGACTTTGTGCTTGGATTGCCTAGGACTAGGACTGGGAAGGATTCTATATTTGTTGTGGTAGACAGGTTCTCAAAAATGGCTCATTTTATAGCTTGTAACAAAACCGATGATGCATCTCATATAGCTAGCTTGTTCTTTAAAGAAATTGTGCGTCTGCATGGAGTGCCTAAGAACATCGTATCCGATCGTGACACGAAATTCCTTAGTTATTTCTGGAAAACATTGTGGTCTAAGTTAGGTACTAAGCTTCTATTTTCTACTACTTGTCATCCACAAACTGATGGGCAAACTGAAGTAGTTAATAGGACCTTATCCACTTTGTTGCGTGTTCTAGCCAAAAAGAATCTTAAAAGTTGGGAAGATTGCTTACCGCATGTAGAGTTTGCATATAATCACTCGATGCATTCCACTTCTAAGTTTTCCCCATTTCAAATTGTCTATGGTTTTAGTCCTTTGTCTCCTTTGGATCTAACCCCTCTTCCTTTGAGTGAGAGAACTAGTCTCGATGGAAGAAGAAGGCAGAACTTGTTAAAAAGATCCATGAGAAGGCTAAACTCAACATAGAAGAAAAGACCAAGCTCTATGTCAAGAAAGCAAATAAGAACCGGCGAGAGATGATTTTCGAAGTTGGCGATCAAGTTTGGGTACATTTGAGGAAAGAACGGTTCCCAGCCGAGAGAAAGTCCAAACTGATGCCAAGAATTGATGGACCTTTCACCATAACAAGAATAATCAACAACAATGCTTATCAGCTTGATCTCCGAGGTAAGTATAATATCAGTTCTAGTTTTAATGTTTCTGACCTTGTTCCTTTTGTGGCAGATGAACCAGATTTGAGGTCAAATCCTTTTCAAGAGGAGGGGGGATGATGCGATCATGGACAGCCTAGAGGACTTGGAACTTGAAGCTCAAGAAGATGGACTAGAAGAACAAGAAGAACCGGATATAGAGGAAGCTTTGGAGATGCCAGCTGGTCCAATAACTAGATCAAGGAGCAAGAAACTTAAGGAAGCTATCGGAGCTATGCTTAGAATCAGTTGGAGACAAGCCAATGTCTTGAGCCAGGAGGGAGAAGTTGCTATACAAGCCGCATTGGTTTTGAGCTGGATCAGACGGTGAGAAGGCCTTCAATCAGGGATGAACTTCTGACGGTTTGACTCTGAGCTGAAATCTGGTTTTCTATCCATTTTGTTAAGCTTTTCCCTAAGTTACCTGAAAAGAGTCTTGGAACTACAAATACTAGAAAAACGTGATAAAAGTACTTAAAAGCAATTAAAAACATAGAAAAGTATTTCAAAACGATCCATAAAAGTGGTCAAAATACGGTGTTATCAATAACACATATCAAACACCATTAACAAATACCAATCATCAATCATGTTTAATATCTACACTAAGCATACACACATTACTAAATCAACTAATATATCATAAAAATCCACAAAATTGTCCTCACTTTAATTTGAAAGAACCTGGAATAGCATTTGGAGAATTTTGTGGTCAAAAATGGTTGCAGCTGGAAAACACTCATTTTAAAAACACTTCAAAGCTGCCTCGGGAACATGCTGATAACTCGACAACCAACCATTGAAATCTCAATCCCCCTGTTGAAACTGGAGACCGATGTACCGTGAAGCTCTCCACAAAATTGCAGCTCGATCGGACTTCAGACAAATCGTCTACGGTCCTTTGAAGTTGCTGCATCGAAGCAGATTTCTGGGTTGCAAGGTGACGCAGTTGAGTCTTGCGCAGGAAGAAAGCTTCGTTGTGGGCTGACCGTAACTCCGATGACGATGCCATTTGCTCATACGGCTTTGTTGCAACGAGATCTTTCCAGAGGAACCTAGATCACGGTTTAATTCTTCCTGAATCAACGGGAATCTTCCTCACAAAACCCCACCTCAGAATTGTGTATTCTCTCTCAACTCTCATCTTCTCCAGCTTCTCGGTGCAAGCAGCAACTGCGAAGGTGGTAGATCAGAAACTCCTGCACATTAGAGGCAACCTCATTGGTGTAGTAGATGCAAACTGAAGCCAAGAACTGACGACCAAGGTCAGGGAAAAGATCGTAAGGTCTGGTAGCCATTGTCCCCAATCCGAGCTTAGCCAGCACACGCAGAAGCTTGGAATCCAAACCCAGACGTCGCATATCGAGAATGTCCAGGAATCGGGTAGAGACCATCTCGACGATCAGCCAAGCATTGTAGAAAAGCGTGTCATAATCGTCCCAATCATCAGAAATCAGCCTATGGAGGCACTCGACACTCTCAGACACCTTCTTGGAAGAGTCGTCCCAAACTCGCCTGGAAGCAATGCACACCTTATCTCGTTTAGGCCAATGGGGCCGAATCTTCTCAGCAGGTGACTCAGGTGCAGCAGGAGGCTATGGCGGTGGTGAGGCGGAGCGAGCTTGTGGTGGTGCAGCAGGTCGAAGATGGGAGGATGTGAACGCTTGCAAATCCTGGGAGTCATGGAATTTGACCAAATAGCGAGATCCAGCGAGTACAGCATTGATGATCGCGTGTTGCCACAAATCGCCTACCAAAGCCTCGACATGATTGCCAAGGTTGAATGTCATCGCGTCTGTGGATTGCGAGCTGGAGGCGTTGTTCCTTCATTGTCGTTTGCGTGGTGGCACCTGCAAAACACAAAACAGAGCAAACCAAACAAGTAGGAAAAACAGCAAGTTAGCCAAAGTGAAAAGCATAAATCGGTCATTCCAGAATTCCCTGCTATCAAGAACAACAAGCTGAGCAGCACAGTCACTAGAGTTCACCCTAATTCAGTTCTGAAACCCTACATCCGAAAAATTCGAACAAGAGTTGCCATGAAGAACAAAATTCCAAAAATCTGCCAATTAATCGATGAGAATTGCATGGGGGTGTCGGAATATGCTCTATATCAGCCTCAAAGTGAGAAATCAAGTAACAAAGCAACCTAGAGAGAGCAATTTCGACATTCCATACCTGAAAACCGAAATCGAAAAAGTGAAATTTCGAGAGGCTTATTTTGTTGAAGTGGAAAATCGATGGAAGAAACAGAAAGAGGGTGAAATCCGATGAGGTTAGGCTTTTGAAACACTCAAATCCGTGAAGAATTGAGTTAATCAGTTTTTGGTGAAGGAAAGGGAGGCTATGGTGTCGAGTGCGGCTAAGGGAGGAGATGAATGAGGTTTTCAAATAAAAGGGGAAAAATGAGACTTACCTGTTTGTTGGTGACGAGCGACACCAAAGGTAGTGTCGCGCGACACTTTTACGTCATGAACCGAAGCTCCTTGTGCCCGATCCGACTCCTGATTCCACTCTGGTTCTGGATTGCCGGTAAAGCTAAATCCTAATTTTTTTTTTTAAGAACGGATTTCCCTTCATAAACTGACTTGATTGATGCTGACTGGTGACACCGATGCTGGTGTTGCTCGACACCAGTCTCTGCTTCACCTAAATCACGAAAACCAAAAACGAAAATTAGCTGAAACAAAAAGACTTATGTACAGACTTACCAGTGGATTTCCTTCCACCAAACGCTTGTTTAAAGTCATTAGCTTGACTTGATGGTGATTCAGGCGGTAGGTGCACCATCCAGAGGAACTATGTGTCCATCTTGAATCGCAGCTTTAGCCCAGTAGTGTTTAACCCTTTGTCCATTCATTGTGAACTCCCTGCTGCCATCTGGTGTGAGGCGGACGATGGCACCATAGGGTCGAACCTCCTTGACTATGAAAGGACCTGACCAACAATAACGCAATTTAACAGGAAACAATTACAGACAAGAGTTATACAGGAGTACCTGGTCATTATGTTCGAATTGCCTCGAGAGGATTTTCGAGTTGTGATACGCCTTGGTCCTCTCCTTGTACAGCTTCGAATTCTCATAGGCATGGTGCCTGATTTCGTCCAACTCATTCAGCTGTATCATTCTCCTCTCTGCAGCAGACTTGATGTCGAAGTTCATCATCTTTATCGCCCAAGCTGCCTTGTGTTCGATCTCCACTGGAAGGTAACAGGGCTTTCCATAGAGCAGGTGGAAAGGCGTGGTGCCTAGAGGCGTTTTGAACGCCGTCCTGTATGCCCAGAGTGTGCGGCTCTGGTAGTAATCCTCGATGTTTTTACTGCCTTGGGTCAATCGCCGAAGTTTGTTGTGTAGTTCATTGTTGTAGTAGTTCAGAACAAACCGTCGTCGCATCAGTCCCACCATCTCGTCCCATGTCTCAACGGGTCGATCCCTGTTCCGTCTCCGTTTGGTAATGATCTGATCCCACCAATCCACAGCATATCCGTGGAACTCGGTAGCTGCCAGGTTGATTTTCTTCCTCTATGTGAAATTCTGGCAACCAAACACGATCTCGATCTTTTTCTCCCCCTCCAGGTAAGCACCGGGATCGTTTTTCCCGTAAAAAGATGGTATTCGCAACTTTAGCCCGCCAAGGTCGTTATCAGGTCGGCCTCGGGCTGCATCTGGTCCATACCGCTCTCGTCCGCGGTACAGCTCTTGGTATGGGTCAACTGGTTCACGGTCTCAGGCCGCATTGTACCGTCCATGCTGCTGCTCCTCTGGACCGCGGTCTGACCCTTGGTTTAGCATGCGTCGATCTTCCCGGTCTCGACGAACGCCTCGGTTGTATCGCTGTCTGGTACGGCTTCCTCCGGATGTATGACCATCTGCGTAGAATGGATTGTCTAAGACGGTCCGGCTCTTCATGGTTCCGGTTGCTACCTCCTTTCCCATCTGATTGCCTTGGCTGTAATTTAAGCCGATCCAACCGCTGACTCATATGCTCCATCATCTCGGTCATTTGGTTTAGTTTAGCGTCCATCTCTTAAGGACTAACACACCGGATGTGATTACCGTCACGGAACGTGTAGTATTCCTAGTCCCCTTCGGAAAGGTCCGATGACATACAAAGTACCTCACAAAATTCAGCAAACCTGTTAGTAAAAATTCCTCATTTTAGTGTTTCACTCAGTGTTTCTCTCAGCACTCTTAATATTCTCACACACACACAAGAGACTCTCCTCGGTTCTAAAGGAACTAAATCGAGACCGATGTAGACCCAAAACCAAATCGGAATATCAAGTGAGTATGAAGAAGAAAAAGAGAAGATAGAAAGAAAAGAATTTTGAGTTCACAGATCTCTTCTTATTTTTTTTAATACTGATTTTCGTTTTTTTTTTAAATAGATTTTCTTTCTTTCTTCTTCTTCTTTTTTTTTTTTTAAATAGATCTGGAAAAATTACAAAAGAAAGATAAGAAAAGGCGGAAGTTAAAGAGACAAAAGAAAAGATAATACCGAATTCTTCAAGTGTGTGGCTATGATACCACTTGATACGATTTTCCTAAGGACTTCACACACTTGGATCGGCCGGGTTGATAGATCCTTGACTCCGAGCAATTCTTGGAGTAGATGCTAAGGCATGAGAGAATGACTCCTGAAAATCCTTAGGCCCAAACTCGTGAAGAACGGTTTGATACAACGTGGTGGAACAAAGATAAAAAGAACTCGCCGGTAAAAGCATATTAGGGCGTGAGAAATTAATTCCCGAAGTTCCCTAAGCCCCGATTACGACAAACGAAAACTTTAAATTTTGCAAACGAAGGCTGCGTCAAGTCCGATGAGAAGAACTTGATAAACCAAAAATATTTCTAGGCTAACCACCTGAGAATCGAAAAAGTTCTCAAAAGAACAAAGGAGAAAAGTCTCAAATTTAATTAAGAAGAGTGAATGAATGAAAATGAAAGGGGTTCATCGCCTTATATACGTGCAGATCAGACCAAGAATCATGTATAAGAAATTACAAAAGAAATAAATAAGTTTGACTAAAACTTGGACTGACTCTTCGCCTAGCTTTGACTAACCCTTGAGCTGCTTCAGCGAAAATAACTCTTGAGTAGTGTAGCCGAAGTTGTCTCTTGAGCTTCTGACCGGTGAACCAAGCACATACTAAACCGCAGCTGTGTGGTGGTATAGCCTTTGACCTCGTTAAAACCCCACCCGGTAAACCCATTGGGACAAACCCAGATGTAAGAAAAAACAGTACCAAAAACTATACCAGGCCGAAATTAGTTAGCACCCTGGTTTGTGAGAAGGGTCACGCTTACGGTTGTCGCCGGTTCCATGGTTTGGTTCCTGAACTCGGTAAGTAGCTTCTGAACGGCTCCCGCCAACCTCCTAGTGCGCGATCTCGTCATTGGCCCGTCCGGAATGACCAAGTCCATGTCTGGTTCCTGCTCCGTGCTCCAATCTTCAACATGCGGTTCAGCCTCTGGTTCAGCCTCTGATTCCATGATCGCATCAGGACGTCACCGTCGTAGGAGACGAAAGCTACGTACAAAGGATACGTAAGCCGAGATGGATTCCGATCTACAAAGCATGATCTTATTCTACGCATTAGAGCGAGAGTTAATTGCCATGATTGAGTGATTAGACGATTAGGGTGACGAGAGTTGGCTAATCATACATGTGTCTATCCTAGTTTCAGAGTCATAGAAAATCCTTGCCTAAATTCCTTGTGTTTTAGAACATGAACCCTAAAGATGAACCTTAAACCCAGCGCCGTTTTTCATATAGTTTTCAACCGATTTTATTTCTAGCTCTTTTTAATTCTCTGCTTAATATGATTTAGTGACAATACCAAAATCCTTTTTTATTAGACTAGGTTTACAATTGTTTTTAGCATCAGTTAGAAGTCCTCAACACACAAATCCCAGTGGAGTTAATCCCTAAGTACTACTGCGTTTAATGTGCACTTGCAGTTTGTCTAGGGTAAAACTTGTGTTGCCCACTGCAGCCACATCAGAGATCTATCTCTTGAACCCTTTTTATTTCTATCTCAGCTTTTCAATACAATGTTTTTGCTTTTTTTTTAATCATGTCTGAGTAGTTTTATTGTTGGGTTTAAGGGATTTTCGATAGGGTCTATATATGTTTGATGAGGATTCCATTAGCTATTGAAGCTGAATCCTAGAACTTTATCTTCAAAACTTTTTTATAATGCATGGGAGTAGCGTCATGAACTACAATCTGATTCCGGTTTTGGGTATTACGAAAGTTTTCATTCGAGTCTAGATCTAGTTCGGGAAGAGCATATCGACCATAGGAGTGGAAACCTACCTATGGGAGAGCTGTGAATATTGATGAGTCTTAAGCATATCGCATCTTTTCTTTTCCAGGGCCAGAGTGAAAACCTACTGGTCATGGTTGAGAAAGATATTTGGTTATGACCATGACAGTGGCGTATTCACACGTTTGTGGCTCGAGTTCTAAAAGTTTTAGCTAGGATCTTTTTAATTTACCTTTTAGCAATGTTGTGAATAGTTTATCCCCAGAGAAAATTTTCCTGAAAACCCAGCGTCTCGTCTTTATAAGTTTTCGCCGATTTCAATACAAGTTTTAGTCTTCATTATAGTTGATTTTTATATAAGCAATTAGGTCTAGCCGTTTTCTCGTTTTTAGTCGATTTCTTTAAGTTTAGTTATTAGGTCATTTAAATTCTTGTATTTTCCCATTAAGACTAGACGTTTTAAAGACATCATCAAAACCCGTACAAAAATCGCCTGGTTCTAGACTTCCTTAATTCATATTTCTTTAGGCTTTTCCAGGAAAGATCCTCATTCCCCGTGGTTTCGATCCCTAAGTACTACAATCGATCAGCTGTGCACTTGCGGATATTTATTTCATTTAGGGTAAAACATGACACACCCTCACCACACGACATCAGAATGTCTACTCTATAGTCCACAAGAAGACATTGCTCTTAGAGGTCTTTCTTCACAAGACAATGAGGAAATTGAGCAACTCAGTGGGGAGGTGACCCTTGGAACTGAAGTTTTTGCTATAAAAGACGTCCATGGAGCTTCTAGAGACAAATTTCAGATTGTTGCTGAAGAGAAGGCCAAGCGAAAGCTCAAGAAAGAAGAAAAAACTATTGAGCCGCCAGCCTATGTGCCTAAAAGTCTCTGTGATGAGTTTCAACACTTTGAGATGAAGTATGTGGGGACTTGTGGAATGAAAGAGAAGGCAACCTTTTTATGCTTATGAGAAAAAGAAAGAACACCAAAGAGAGCTTGCTCTTGAGTTCATTGATGGTTAGAAGTTCTCAAGTGATGATGAGGATTGCTTGGAATCTCTATCTCCTACACCAAGTGAGAAAGCGATCAGCAGTAACAAAGGCACTGGTTCAGGGTCTCAAGACAAAAACCCAACAAGCACCAAACCATTCACTCTTGGGTCCTCTTCTCAAGTATTAACTTTCACTCCATGGAAGTTTGATGGAGGATCTGTGGAATACAAGGTCCAAAGCAATGGAGGATCAAAACCTTTTGCTAAGTTCATGGCAATCCTCACACAAGAGCTCATAGGAAAAGGGTCATCTGGTGTTCAAGAGATGATGAACAAGGCCATCACACTTGAGTTCATGGACAAGACAAGGAGCATCAAAGCTCATCCTCTTCCCCATTGAGCAGAGGTTCTGAAAAGTCAAACTTAGTGACTTAAAACAAAGTGCTCTTGGGAAACACCCCAAGCAAATCCTTGTGCATAACTCTTTTTAATATTTTCTCTTCTTTTTCATGTTTTAGGATGTTTTGATGGGTTTTGTGAAGTGTTTTCAGGTCTAAGGTGATTTAGGAATGCTCTGGTCCAAGGACAAAGTGAAAAGGGGCCTGAGAACATGCTGAGAAAGGACTTAAGGCTTGAGAACTGGTGAGACGCCTGGTGTGCTACATGGGTGTGCGAGATGGACAAGGTCAGGTCCCATCTTCCACACATGTTCGCATTTCAGACCTACATAGGTCTGCGAGTCAGTTCTCTCCTTATCCAAGTAGCACATATGATCGCAATTCAGACCTACATGGGTGTGCGAGTCAGTCTTCCAAGGGCCATTTTGCACACTTGGTGCTGTTAGATGGCTGTGCAGCTCAAAAAACAGAGATCCAAGTCGCAGAAGAGCTCACAAATTGAACCTACATGGGTGTGCGGGTTGGTGTCTTCTAGGTCCATGTCGCAGCAACAAAGAAAGGCCAGAACATTCAACAAGCTTTATGTGCGACTTGGGTGTGCGAGATAGGAAGGAGAGCAGCCCAGTTCGCACAACCGAAGAAAGCCAAAGCTTTATGTGCGACTTGGGTGTGCGAGTAGGTCCAAGATCAGTCCATGTCGCACAAGGGAGTACAAGCCATGCCAAATCCTTCTCCAGTGA